CCCACGGTCAGACGCAGCCTTGGCGCCCGCCCGCCTCCTGCCGCCGCCGGCTTAGCAGGGCCCCAGGGGGGACACGCACAGCCCGGAAGGGCCCGCGACGTCCCGCGGTCGGACCTTGATTCTTTTTTATTCTGTATATTTCCTCTTTCAGATCATGCAAAAACTTCCTCATCTCCTGGAACTCATTCTCTTTTTTCTCCTGCATGTTCTGGAGTTCACTGTCTCTCAGCTCTTGTATTTCATTTAGTTTTGTCACTATGAATATTCTGAATTCTCTATCGGACACTTCCACAAGTTCTACTGTACTGTCTGTGGATAATGAAAGATTGTTCTTTTCCCTTAGGGGAGAGATGTTTTCTTAGTTTCTCATGCCTCTGCGGTGGTTTCTTGTCATTCTGTGACAAAATCTCTCCTCCACTTGTCTGAATATTTCAGGAGCCTAGAAGGTGAAGTTTAGAGCATAGCTTCCCTGAACAGGCCAGGACACATCTCAACTTTAAAATGGCTTCTTGTCTGAATATTTTGAGAGTCCAGAAGGTGAAGTTTAGAGCATAATTTCCCTGAACAGGCCAGGACACACCTTAGCTTTAAAATGGCTTCTTGTCTGAATATTTCGGGAGTCTCCTTTTTCTACTTTCTTAAAAATAAGCATTGAGGATTTCAATGACTAAAAGTATTCAGATGCTTGGCTACTGTGCAACTAGGCCTATCTAGACACTTGTCTGAGTATTTCAGGAGTCTAGGAGATGGAGTTTAGAGTATAGCGTCCCTGAACATGCCAGAATACACTTCAGATTTAAAACGATTTCTTGTCTGAGTATTCCCTGAGTCTCTCTCTCTTTTTTAAAATGAAACCTGTAATGCTGAATAAAACTGCCTGGTCAGTTAGCCAAAGATTATATTTAAAGAAGCTTAATGTACTTTAGGAAAAACAAAAACAAAAACAAAAACAAAACCAGATACATGCTAACAACACAGAGGAATCTTTTTTAATGATCAGTTAATTAGGTTCTTTTTAAAAAAGAATTATTTATTTAATTTTATTTATTCATCCATTTATTTTAATTTGACCAGAGAATGACAGAGAGAGACACACACAGAGAGGGAGAAAAAGGAGAAAGTAAGTCACCAGGTCCGGACTTGAACCGTGGTTGGCCATGTGGGTCCAGCACTTTAGCCACAACGCCACCTGCTGGTCCCAGTTATTTTTATTATTATTATTTTTTTGAGAGTTTTTTGCTATAGGGCGTGTGCACTCGCCAGAAAGACAGCCAGAAAGCGAGAAATCATCCTCCAGGGGGGATGGCCATGCTGCAATTCCTCCTCCTTCATTCTCCTCTCAGGATCTTGGGCACGCACACACATGCGCCCGGCATGAGTTTAAGCCACCGGGTCCAAGACTCGAACGGCAGTCAAATATATGGGAGTCCAGCGACAGCCATTATGCCAACTGCTGGTCTTGGTCCCAGTTATTTAATTAGGTTCTTGGCAAAAAATTTAGAACACTGATTTATGAGGATAAACTCCATTTGTAAGGGCAAACATGGATCACAGATAGCCCTGGAGCTGAGGAACAGCTTTGATTTCTGGTAAAATTTGCAAGTTCACAGCTTTCTGATCAACCTTGCGTTACTCTGAAATCCCATATTACTCCTTCTCTGTGTCGAAGATCTTGCCTTCCTGGTGTCTGGGCTTCTGCAGCTTCTTTTTCTTGAAGTAAGCATCGGTGAGGTGTTTTGGGATTCTTTGGGATTGCTAATATCAATTTTCATGGAAGTGGTGATGACAAATTTCTGGTGTGTTCTATGCAGTGGAACTTGATTGAAGACCACCGGTCCAGTTACAAGTAGCAAACCACTGCTCAGTTGCTTCAGGAAAATGACTCTCTTGCCTCTGTGGCATCCAGTGAGGATGATCAGAATGGTTCCAGGAGTGATGCTGGCTTGCAGCTTTGTCATATGCTGACTGAGGATTTTCTGCCATGGCTAAACAGCTTTCGAGGCATATCTTCAGTAGGATAATACCTAGGCATTTAGTGAACTTTAACCACCCAGGTACCACCATTTATTTTTAAAGAATTATTTTATTTAACTTTATTTGTTGTTGTTGTTGTTGTTGTTGTTGTTATTGTTATTTTACAGCTTGATCACACAAAGAGAGAGAAAGAGAGGGAAAAGTGAGAAAGCAAGCCACCAGTTGGCCCTGGTACCACCATCCTTGTCTCCACCAACTGGTTTTGTGATAGTGGCAAAAACGTTCTTTTTCTTTTCAATCCTGGATTTAGTGGCCGAGTATTTCCTCTTGTACATGGCTTCCTGGAATACATGGCAGACCAGGAGTATCTACTGATGCCCTGGACTAAGACCAGGTTTCAGCTGCAATGGTTCTTCCCCTTCTTGGTCTTTTCAGCCTTGGGGTCACTCTTTTTAACTTTGCCATTGGTATCAGCCTTCTTGGCTTCAGGTTTTTTCTCCTTAGTATCCCGCTTCACAGCCTTTTCACCTGCCATCTTGTATAGTGGGAAAGAGAACTAAATTTGGTTTATAAGCAATCATAGGCCAGTATAGTGGAATCTTTGACAATGAAAATATTTATAATCACTCTGGCTATAATTATTGAAGCTCTACTTTGTGTTAGTCACTATAGCAAGTCTTCAAAGGCACTTTCCAATTTTATCTACAATGGACGTACTACTATTATTGCCAGATAAAAAAAAATAAGGTTCAGGGGTTGGCAGGCAGTATGGTGGTTAAGGATGATGGACTCCCACATGGCCGACCATGGTTAGAGTCCTGGACCTGCTGCCTTCCTGCCTTGCTTTCTCTCTTCCTATCTCTCTCTTTGTCCCTCTCTGATCAAATTAAAAACAAAACAAACAAACAAACAAAACTCTAGGACTGGCAAGTGGCATGGTGGTTACGGGTGATAGACTCCCATATAGCTGACCACGGTTCAAGTCTCAGACCTGGTGGCTTGCTTTCTCACTTCCTCTCTCTCTCTCTGTCTCTCTCTGATCAAACTGGAAAATAATAATGATAATAATAATAAATAAAGTTAAATAAAATAATTCTTAAAAAAATAAACCTAAATAAAATAGTTTTTTTTTTTTGAGAGGTTTTTGCTACAGGGCATGTGTGCTTGCCAGAAAGAGAGGGAGAAAAAGAGAGGTACAGAAGGCGAGAAATCACCCGTCCCCAGGGGGATGGTCACACCACATTCCCTTCTCCTCTTGGGATCTTGGGCATGTATGCATATGCACCTGGCGTGAGTTTAAGCCATCAGGTCTGGGACTCGAACCGCTGTCAACTACTAGTGGGAATCCAGCAACATAGCCATTACACCAACCACTGGTCTCCTAAAAAAAAAATCTCTTTTTTTTTTTTTTTGGAGAGGTTTTTGCTATAGTGTGTGTGCGCTCGCCAGACAGACAGAGAGAGACAGAGAGACAGAAAGCGAGAAATCACCCCCCCAGGGGGGATGGCCACGCCGCAATCCCTTTTCCTCTGTTCTCCTCTCGGGATCTTGGGCACGCATGTACACGTGTCTGGCTTGAGTTTTAAGCCACTGGGTCCGGGATGCGAACCGCAGTCAACTACATGGGAGTCCAGCGACACAGCCATTACACTAACTGCTGGTCCCCCAAAAATAATTATTTAAAAGAGAAAATAAGGTTTGGGTTGGTGTACTGGTAAAGGTGCTGGACTTCTACGTGGCCGGGCATGGTTTAAGTCACAGACCTGGCAATTTGCTTTTTCTCACTTTCCCTTCTGCCTCTTTCTAGTGACATTAGAAAATAACGACAAAAATTAAATAAGTCTTAAAAAAATAAAAAGTTTCGAAGAGGTTAAACAATTTATTCAGTAGTACATATCTTACAAGTAAAGTTGAAGTTCAAATGAACAGCTGCCTGGCTCTAGACTCTGAGCAGCCATTATGTAATACTGCCATATCAAATATATATTTCTTTTCCTTTTTTTTTTTTTAAAGTTTTGCTATAGGGTGTATGCACTCACTGGAGAGAGAGAGAGAGAGAGACAGAGAGAAGGAGAGAGAAAGCGAGATGGCCAAGAGATGTAATCCATTCTCTACCTTTCTCTTCTTGGGAACTTAGTCATGCATGCACACACACCTAGCTTGATTTTCAAGCCACCACATCTGGGACTTGAACCATGCAGTCTGCCATGTGAGATCCAGCCGCCTTAACTACCACACTACCTGGCTGGCCCATCAAGTACATAATTCATGTTCACATTTTGGGTACTCAAATTTAGTACCAGGTCAGAGAAGGAAATCCTCTACATCAGTTATCTTCTCAACTTTCGAGGGCATCTCACCTTCCTGCTGCTTTGCTGGCTTCCCCCTACCACATACCCAGGGAGCTTACCCAGGGTGGACCCGCCAAAGGTAGACTCCATAGTGTAGCTGTTCAGGATTCCCATCCGCCACATCACAACTCGTCCTGTTCCTTCTTTACACTTTTGGACTTTAAAATTACAACTGTGGAAAGAAAACTAAAGAGAAATTTAAATTCCATTAATCATAAACCAGCAAACATAAGATGTCTAGTATTCATTTATATGATAAACAAAAACAGTTCACTTAGGAGCTTATAGTGTTTCCTAGTCTGTTCCATAAAATATTAATTCTGAGGGATACTAATAAATATTACAGGGAACTAGAAATTCTGTGGTCAGGGAGATGTGTAGTCAGTTTGACAAATTAAGCAGGCTCCCTCTTCAGGACTTTCAGAGCTTCAATAGACTAATGTGGACTGTTATCCTCCAAGGGAATGGGAGTATATTTGTATTTTATTTTCTAAACTTGTTTGCCCATGCACATTTTCTTCCCTTCCCTCTATCCCTCCCGACTCCCCCAAGGAGGATGTGGACTGGGGTTTCTTTTTTTTTTTTCCTCTTAAAGAATTATTTTATTTGGGTCAGCTGATGGCATGGTGGTTAAGGTGCTGGACTTCCACATAGCCAGAGATTGAGTACCAGACCTGGTGACTTGCTTTCTCACGTTTTCTCTCTTTCTTCTCTCTCTGTCTGTCTCTGGTGAGCACATGTGTCCTAAAGCAAACTAAAAAAAACAAAACAAAACAAAACAAAAACAATGATAAATAAAATTAAATCATTCTTTTAAAAAATACTTTAAAAATTATTTTATTTAATGTATTATTTTCTAATTTAATTAGTGAGAGACAGAGAGGGAAAGTGAGAAAGCAAGCCATCAGGTCCAGGACTTGAACTGTGGTCACCCATGTGAGGGTCCAGTGCTCCAACCACCATGTCACCTGTCAACCCTGGACTAGAGTTTTTAGGACAGCTGTTTGGGGATGCTGGCTTACTTTCACATTCAAGGTATACTAACCTTTCTAAGAAGTATTCTCTGCTGCTCCCCAACTTGAACCCTTAGATCTAGCTGGCTTTATTCTCCATATATGGTCTGTGTATTCCTCACCTCCATGATTTCTACCTGAAACATTTACACTAATCTCATTCAGCATTCAATATCTTCCATTCAACATCAACCCCTTTTTTCCTGGGGTTGGCCAGTGGCATGGTGTTTGGGGGCACTGAACTCCCATATGGCTGACCACGGTTAAAGTCCTGGAGCTTTCTCACTCTTCTCTCTCACTCTGTTCCTCTCTGGTCAAATTAAATAAAGTTAAAATAATAAAGATAATCTTAAAAAAAAAATTGGGTGTGTACACTCACCAGAGAGCAACAGAGACAGAGACAGGGAAAGTGAAGAATCACCTCTGAGGGAATGGCCACACTGCAGTTGCTTCTCCTCCATCCTCCTCTTAGGATTTTGGGTATGCATACACAAGTGCCTGGTGTGATTTTCAAGTTGCTGGGTCCAGGACTTGACGCTTAATTGATGTAGCTCAACTTTTTCTTTCTTCTTTTTTATTTTTTAATGTCAGGAAGGGTATTTTTTGGCAGGGTCTCGCCATGTGATCCTCTCACCCTAGTCTCCCAACTAGCTAGGACCAAAGCCAAGCATCACCATGCAGGCTTAGGTTGGGCTGGGAATCAAATCTGGGCCTCTTATGGATCCTCAGCCTCTGTGCAGGGGTGCCCTCCCACTTGTGCCACCACAACTGGGCTGTAGCTCTGCTTTTAATTGTTTTAGATACTGAGCTCTGGATATGCTTTCGTTTGAGAGAAAAAAAAGTGAGAGGGAGGAAGGAAAGCTTCCTCTTTTGTTTCTAACAGATAAGTTTTCATCCTAGTTACATTTTGAATGTAGGATGATCTATGTATGATATAAAAAATCAACTTTTAAACCAATGCACGTAATCTGTAGATACCCGACCATCACAAAGTTGATAGCCTGCTGTTAAATACTTTTGAGTCGGGCCCAGCAGGTAACATAGCGGTTAGCGTGGTGGATTCCCACGTCCCATTGCAGTTTGAGTTTTCGATCTGGTGGCTTGCTTTCTCACTTCCTCTTTTTTTTCAGAGAGAGATTTTTCCGTATATGGTATGCATGCTCACTGGAGAGATAAAAAGAGACAGAGAGTGAAAAAGCAAGAAATCACCGCCCAGTGGGGATGGCCACACCACAATCCCTTCTCTTCCAGTCTCCTCTTGGGATTTTGGGCATGCACATACATGCGCCTATTGTGAGGTTCTTTTTAATTTTTTAAATAATTATTTATTTGACTTATTCACGAATTTTTAAAATTTATTTATTTTTTAAAATTTGACCAGAGAGAGACAGAGAGTAAGAGTGAGAGAGGGAGAGAAAGTGAGAAAGCAAGTTGCCAGGTTCCAGATTTGGACCACAGTGGGCCATGTGGGAGTCCAGTGTCCTTAACCACCTTGTCCCAACCTATTGTGAGTTTTAAGCCATTGGGTCTGGGACTCAAACTGGTTGATTACGTGGGAGTCCAGTGACGTAATCATTAGGCCATCTGCTGGTCCCTCTCTTTCTTTTTATTTAGAATTATTTATTTAATTTTGGGGCCAGCAGGTGATGTGGTGGTGAAGATGCTCTACTCCCACATAGCTGGCCACGATTCAAGTCCTGGACCTGGTGCGTTACCTTCTCTCTCTCTCACTCTGTCCCTCTCTGGTCAAATTTAAATAAATAAATAAATAAATGTAAATTTCTTATTAAAAAGAATATTAACAATAATTAAAAAATAAATAATTCTTTTGAAAATTTTCCCCCAAAGATTATTTTTATTTTATTTGTTGTTATTGTTATTTTTAATTTGACCAGAGAAAGGCAGAGAGAGAGAGAGGGGAAGTTAGAAAGAAACCCACCAGGTTCGGGACTTGAGCCGTGGCCATGCGGCGGTCCCGTGGACTCACCTGCTGGCCCACCCCAAAAAAAACTTCTTTAAAAAAATACAAATAAAATTGGTATCTAAATTAAAAAAAAAAAAACCAGAATTATTTGGGGGTAGCAGGTGGCATGGTGGTTAAAGGTGCTGGACTCCCACATAGCCAACAGCAATTCAAGTCCTGGACCTGATGGTTTGCTTTCTCATTTTCCCTCTCTTTCTCTTTTTCTCTGTCTGATCAAACTAAAAAAAAAAAATAATAGCAAATAAAATTAAATTATTCTTTTTCTTTTTTTTTTTTGGGGGGGGGTGGTCGCTAGAAAGAGAGAGAGAAACAGAGAGACAGAAAATGAGAAATCACCCCCCAGGGGGGATGGCCACATCTCAATCCCTTCTCCTCCATTCTCCTCTTGGGATCTTGAGCACACATGCACATGTACCTGGCATGAGTTTTAAGCCACCAGGTCTGGGACTCAGACCGCAGTCAGCTACATGGGAATCCAGCAACATAGCCATTATGCCAACTGCTGGTCCCTTAAATAATTATCAAGAATGATTAATTATTTGGGGCCAGTAGGTGGTATGGTGATTAAGCATGCTAGACTCCCACATGGCCGACTGTGCTTCAAGTCCTGGACCAGGTGGCTTGCTTTCTCACCTTCCTTCTCTCTCTTTCTCACTCTGTCCCTCTCTGGCCTAAATAGAATAAATAAATAAATAGAAGTTAAATAAAATAATTATTAAAAGAGAATGATTAATTATTCCATTATCTTTTTAAATTTTATTTACTATTATTATCATTTATTTTTAAGAGATTTTTTTGGGGACCAGCAGTTAGCGTAATGGCTATGTTGCTGAACTCCCATGTAGTCGATCGCAGGTCGAGTCCCGGACCTGGTGGCTTAAACTCACGCCGGGCGCATGTGCATGCATGCCCAAGATCCCGAGAGGAGAATGGAGGAGAAGGGATTGCGGCGTGGCCATCCCCTCTGGGGGGTGACTTCTCGCTTTCTATCTCTGTCTCTCTTTGTTTTTCTGGCAAGCGCATATGCTGTATAGGAAAAAAACAAAAAAACTCTCCAAAAGAAGAAAAAAAGAAGAGATTTTTGGTATAGGGTGTGTGCGGAGAGACAGAGAGACAGAAAGTGAGAAATCGACCCTGAGGGGATGGCCATGCTGCAATCCCTTCTCCTCCATTCTTCTCTCAGGATTTTGGACACACATATACCCATGTCTGGTTTAAGTTTGAAGCCACCTGGTCTGGGACTCAAACTGTGGTTGACTGTATGGGAGTACAGCAACGTAACCATCATATAATCTACTACTATTGTTTTAAAAAATTTCTTAGGGTATGTGTATGCACTAGAGAGAGACAGAAGGAAAGTGAGAAAGCAAGCTGCCAGGTCTGTGACTTGAACCGTGGTCAGCTATGTGGGAGTCCAGTTCCTTAATCACCATACCACCTGCTGGCCCTTCCTTTTCTCTTTCTCTTTCTCTGTCTCTGTCTTGTGAGCCCACATGCCTTACTGCAAATTGAAAATAATAATAAATGGCTGGCAGGTGGTATGGTGGTTAAAGGTGTTGAATTTCCAAATGACCAACTGTGGTTCAAGTCTTGAACCTGGTGGCTTGCTTTCTCACTTTCACTTTCTCTCTGTGTCTCTCTCGGGTCAAACTTAAAAATAACAAATGGAATTAAATAAATAAATAAATCCTTAAAACATAAATAAAATTAAATGAATAATTCTTTTTTAATTATTATTTAACTTAATTTATTTACTATTTATTTTTAATTTGACCAGAGAGGGACGGGGGGGGAGGGGTGGGCACAGAAACCAAGAAAGCAAGCTAGCAGGTCCAGGACTCAAACTGCAGTTGGTCATGTAAGAGTCCAGCACCCTTAACCACCATGCTACTTGCTGGCCCCAAATAAGTAATTCTTTAAGGAAAAAAAAAAATCTGAGTTTTTTTCATTAGTTCTTTAATACCTTATTATTACTGTTATTGGGGCCAGCAGATGACATAATGGTTACATCACTGGACTCCCACACAGTCGACTGTGATTCAAATTGTGGGTCTGGCGGTTTAAAACTCATGCCGGGCACATGTGTGTCCGTGCTCAAGATTCCAAGAGGAGAATGGAAGAGAAAGGACTGCGGGATACCCATCCCTCTGGGGGGTGATTTCTCACTTTTTGTCTTTCTGGTAAGCACGCACACCCTATAACAAAAATTTCTCTCTAAAAAAAGGGGTGGCTAACAGGTGGCATGGTGGTTGGGGTGTTGGACTCTCACATGGCCAACTGCGGTTTGAGTGCCAAAGCTGATGACTTGTTTTCTCACTTTCCCTTTCTCTCTCTCTGATGAAATTAAAAAAATAATAACAAATAAAACAAATAAATCTTTTATAAAAAATAATTATTTAACTTGGGGCCCGGTAGTTAAGGGCACTGGACTCCCTTATGGCTGACAGTGGTTCAAGTCCCGGACCTGGCAGTTTGCTTTCTCACTTTTCCTCTCTCTCTCATTCTGTCCTTCTCTGGTCAAATTAAAATAAAAGAATTAAATAATTATTTAAAGAATAATTATTTAAATTTATTTTTGATTTTGACCAGAGAAAGACAGATTGAGAGAGAGAGAGAGAGAGAGAGAGAAAGTGAGAAAGCAAGCTGCCAGATATAGTACTCACACCGTGGTTGGCCATGTTGGAATCCAGTGCCCCTAACCACCACACCACCTGCTGGCCCCATATAGTGTTTTATTAGGTAATTTGCATCTCTTTTTGTTGAGTCTCAGCAACCTAAACTTCAAGAATTTAGAAAAGTATGGCTTCAAGAATTGTTTTGTCAGGGCCAACAAGTAGCATGGTGGTTGGGGTACTAGAATCTCACATGGCTGACTGTGGTTTGAGTCTGGGACCTAGTGGCTTGATCTCTCACTATCTCTCTCTCTCTCTCTGTCTGGTAAGCACACATGCCCTACAGCAAATTAAAAATAATAATAAAAATAATAAATTTTAAAAAATAAAAAAAGAATTGCTGTGTCTGTTAACCGATCAATAGATAAATAAAATGTGGTATATAAACACAATGGGATGTTACCCAGCAATAAAAATATTTAAGTACCAATGCGCTAGGATACAGATGAACCTTGAGCACATTATGCTAAGTGAAAAAAGCCAAACCTGTCAGGCTACATGTTATATGATGCCTTTACATGAAACTTCTGAAAAAGCAAATCTACAGAGACAGGGAGTGGGTAATAAATTACCCAAGGCTGATGGGGCAAGAGTGGAATGAGGAATAACTGTAATGAGAACAGGGTTTCTTAAAATTAAAATAAATAAATAAAATGAAAATAAAATAATTCTTAAAATAAAAAAAGAAAACACTATATAGGGGCCCACAGGTGGCATGGTGGTTAAGTCGCTGGATCCCACATGACCCGTTGTGGTTGGAGTCCTGAATCTGGCAGCTTGAAAATTTTGTGGGTGCATATGTGTGTCTGACCAAAGTCCTGAGAGGAGAATGAAGGAAAAGGGATTGTGTTGTGATTATTTTCCGCAGGGAGTGATTTATCTCTTTCTCTTTTTCTGTCTCTCTCCTGCTCTATACCAAACTAAGAAAATAAACAAACAAAAACCTACTACATATGGAGCCATGAGTAGTCTCATCCTCAGTCAGTGATAATTACAATCCTGTGCTTACCTTATCTGGTGCATTTTTGCTTAACATTAAAGGAAAAACTCGCTCATGAAGCCAGTGCTTGCGGTCGTTGTTATTACAGCCATAGAGGAAGATATTATTCTTACGGCTGTGGCCATGGAAATCACAATATAAGAGAATCTCTCTTTCTTCAAGAAGTCTATTGGGGGAGGCAAACAAATGCATGCAAATAATCAGGGATTATTTGGGGCCTCGTCTTCTGTAAGTACGGCAGTTGATACCTTCCTGCCTAGGAAAATTTCAGCCAAGGCCTTCAGTGGGCCCCATCCCCATCTTCAGCCATACTGAAAACATGTTACCAGCATTCCCTGCCTTTACTGGTCAGAGGGGCTTGAAACGGGAAAGTTCCAATATGGGTGGTGCATAGTCCTTGAGTGAGCTGACAGTGAAGTAGAGAAAACCTACTGAAGAAAAGCCCACCCTGGCACAGACCTGTGAAGAGGGAGGAAGGTAGAGAGGCTCTATTTGTACGAACGAAGACTGAATCAAGAAAGCCTGAGTTTCCAGCTTTCTAGGGCCAGTTCTTCGTCTCCTGATCACTCAGGACACCTCCTCCAACTTTCCACACATTTATTTTCTCCATGAAGATGATGATGGCGTGAGGAGAGGATGATAACAAGGCTAAGGCTGGCCCCATGACTTAGTGGTTAAGGGAGCCAGATCCCATATGGCGATTGTGGTTCAAATCCCAGGCCTGCAGCTTAAAAACATTCCAGGTACATTTGTGTGCCCCAATTTCAGCATGATCATGCCTCATAACAAGGAGTTCTCTCCCTCTTTCTGGCAAGTCCATGCTCCCCCTATCAAGAAACAAAAATACTACTACATTTATAATGTGCTGGGTACTGTGTTAAATAGACCACCTACATTCTCTCATTTAATCCTCACAGTAACCAATACCAAGACAGGTACAGTCCCCATGCTACAGATGAAGAGGCTGAAGCTCATTAAATCTCTTGTCAAGGTCACAGCAGCAGTCAGCACCAAAACCAGGGCTGAAACCCAGGCTTGTCTGACTCTTAGCCACTCCGTCTACCAGCCCAGTACTACTCCCACTGGTTCACAGGTGTGGTTTGGAAGTGTGTATCTGGAAAACATTATGTGCTATATTTACATTTCCAATAGGATGAAGGCTCCTTTAACGTAAGTGCTAGTATATTACAGCCTTCTACTACTTTTACACAGACTTGAAAAAATCTAACTGGTTTATTATTTTTTTTTTGGAGGTTTTTGCCTTAAGGTGAGGGTGCTTTCCAGAGAGAGAGAGAGAGAGAGAGAGAGAGACAGACAGACAGACAGAGAGACAGACAGACACAGACAGACGTTGAGAGGGAAACTGAGAAATCACCCCCCAGGCCAGGAAGCCACACTGCAATCCCTTCTCCTTCTGGGATGTTGGGCATACATGCACATAGCATGATTTTCTTTTTAAAGAATAATATTTATTTCATTTTATTCATTCATTTATTTTGATTGGACCAGAGAGAGAGAGAGGTACCGTGAAAAAGCAAGCCACCAGGTCCTGCACTAGAACCACAGTAGGCCATATGGGAGTATCCAGTGCTTCAACTGCAACATCATCTGCTGGTCTCCCATAACGTGATTTTTAAGCCACCAGGTCTGGGACTCAAACCGTGGTTAGCCATCGGGGAGTACAGTGACATAACTGTTATGCCATCTGCTTGCCCTAGGTTTACTTTTTTTTTTTTTTTTGAGAGTTTTTTTTTTTTTTTGTTTTTTTGCTATAGGGTGTGTGTGCTCACCAGAAAGACAGAGAGACAGAAAGCAAGAAATCACCCCCCAGGGGGGATGGCCATGCCACAATCCCTTCTCCTTCGTTCTCCTCTCGGGATCTTGGGCACGCACGCACAAGCGCCCATCGTGTATTGTTTGTCTGCCACTTCATACACACGCACTAAGTGTTAACTACCATTATGATTATTACCACCACACAAGTGTCATCACGAAAACCTAAGGACTCTTCTGATCTCTGATCTTTTCTACTCGTTATTTCACTTGTAAATGAAATGACTCTAGCTGGAACTACTGCATGTTTGGTTTCAACCCAAAGGGAAGATAATGATTTAAAAGTCTGAACAACTAGCGCCAATTCTCCTTTTCAAAGAGGATGGTAAAAACCCTGTTTCCAGAGACGTACTCAATTTCTGTAACAGAGACTTCGCACTCCATCACGTATAGATTATCTGGCACCTGTGCATTCACAGGTAAATCAACAGATAAAAAGTCTCACCTTTTGATCATGTTCCTGGTGTACCAAATGCAAGGGAAAGAATCCTTCAGAATGGTTTTGTAATGCCTATTCAAGTCCCTTCCAGCCAGTGAACACCGGTAATTCCCCACGATCACACCATCTGGATTTAACATGGGAACCACCTTGAAGACAAAGATATCTCTGAGGAGCTGGGCATCTGGGGAGTTGCCAAGGATGAAGTCCAAAAAGCCTTTCATGATCCAGGAGCCATTACTTTCCCCAGGGTGGACTCTGGCACTTAAGACCACGGCTTTCTTTGTAGCTGCCTCTTGAGGGGTCCGAGATGGGTTGGTGATGGTGAGCAGGTAGACGGTATTTCCTGCAAGGCTCCTACATAAAGTTCGGAGCTTGCAGAACCGAGACTGGACGGGGTTTTTTGCGACTGACAGGAGGTAGCACTGCAAATCAGTGTATGTGTATGGGTAGAAGTGTGCAAAGAAGCAAGTGTCCTGGTCATGTGGAAACTGAATGGTCCATGTGAGACAGTAGAAAGGCTGCTGCCCGTCATCCGCGTTGTTCTTGTAGTACTTGATTTCATTTCCTTCTCTCCTCCAGCCAATGTTGTAGGTGCTGGCATCCAGCTGGGAGTACATGAGTGGCTTCATCCCTACAGTATAAAGGCTCTTAGGTTTTAGCAAGTTGACAATGGTGAAGCGATAGGTGGCATCTTTTCTAGTGTTCTGAACGCGAAAATAAAACCACTGAGTGTGTTTGTTTGTGTAGAGGTCGGTTCGCAAGGTGAGTTCATACTCATAGGTGCCTCTGTGACGGAGAAAACAGAACAACACCGTATCCTCACACTGCCACCTTAAAAAACAAAACTAGTGGCTCAGCCATCCTGTGGTGGTTAAGGCAGCTACACCCCACATGGCCCACTGCATGGATCGAGTCTTGGGACTGGCAGGTAAGAAACATGTTAGATGCTTGCACGTGCGTGTGCACATTGAAGTGTGTGGATACCCAATATCCTGAAAGAAGAGGTGAAAGAGAAGGGATTATGTAGTAACCATTCTCCATGGGGGAGGGAGGGGTGAAGCTTTCTCACCTTCCTTCTCTGTCTCCCTCTGGTGGGCACAAATGCCCTCTGGCAAAAAATAAAATACCCGAACTGGTAAAATATGTTTTCCCATGGTAAAAACAGATTTTTTTTAAAGAATTATTTTATTTAACTTATTATATTTATTTGTTTTAATTTGACCAGAGAGGGACAGAGTGTGAGAGAGTGAGTGAAAGAGAGGGGGGGGAGTAAGAAAGCAAGCTGCCAGGTCTGGGACTTGAACCATAGTCAACCACATGGAAGTCCAGTGCCCTTAACCACCATGCTACCCACTGGCCCCCAAAATTAGATATTATAATAGGAAAAGATTTCTATAACAAACGTGTGTTTTCTAATTTACCTAGTTCTTCAACTGGTAGGAACATGGGGGAAGAAAAGTAAGTTTGGGGTGAGGAAGAAACAGTCTCAAAACTCACGGGCAGGTGGGATATTGGAAGTCTGGTGAGCTTCTGCAATGCCAGCAGCCCCTGGCACCACTGCAGTTTCTCTGAAAGACACTAACAGCAGTGGAGCCAGAGCCCTCTGAGGCTGCTAGCATATCTACCCAAGAGCTCACTACCTTGAAGTCTCAGTGTTATTTTATCTCTGGCATTGACTGTTTGAAAAGGAGGGGGCATAACTGGAATGTATCTACCTCATTAAAAAAAAAAAGGCAGGACTGGGCCAGTTAGTGGTCTGGTGGTTAAGGCAGTTGAATCTCTTATGGCCAACTGCACTGATTGAATCCCATATTCCACAGCTTGAAAAACACTCCAGGTATGTGAGTTTACATGCCCCAAATCCTGAGAATGGAGAAGGGAAAGCAGTGTGGCCATCAGGGGGGAGGAGGGTGTGCTTTCTCACTTTCTTTCTCTCTCTCTATCCCCCTCTCTCTCTCCAATGAGCCCACACACCCTATAGCAAAACCAAAACTAAAAGTAAACAAATAAATGCTAGATGCTTGAATAGACAGTTTTATTATAGAATTAAAAAATAAACAAAAGGAGCAGGACTCACTTGCAGAAGAGGGAAAATAGCAAAAAGAAGAAAAATATTTTACCCACATATAAAATTAAAAAAACACAAATTAAAATAAGATGTCATTTCCTACTCTACCTAATTGGTATTCCAGCACTGGGAAACAGGCACTCTTTTTTTTTCTTTTTTTTCTTTTTCCCCTCCCAAAGGGTGAAAGTGCTTGCCAGAGAGAGATGCAGAAAGGAAGAGAAAGAAAGCACCCCCAGTGGGTTGTGGTCATGTGGAAATCCCTTCACTTCTATTTCTTCACCCTGTCAGGATTTGGGGTACATAAGCACATATGTTGGGTATATTTTTTAAGTCACCAGAGCTGGAAGTTGACCTGTGCAGTGGATCATGTGGAATCCAGCTCCCCTTAATCGGTAGGGCAGAGGGTTAGCCCAAATCAGGCACTCTAACAGTGTTGATGGGAACTGAAATCACATTGTAGGATAATTTGGCATTAACTAGCAATTAAAGTATTCAAATCCTGGGGCCAGAAGCTGGAGTAGTGGCTAAGGTGCTGGACTCACACATGGTCAACTGAGGTTCAAGTTGTAGACCCAGTGGCTTGAACTTCATATTGGGTGTGTGTGAAATCCTGAGAGGAGACCAGAGAAGAAAGGACTGAGGTGTAACCATCCCTCCTGTGAAGTGGTTTCTCACTTTCTGTCTGTTTGTCTCTGTGTTTCTGGTGAGCATATGACCCATAATAAAAATCTGTTAAAAAAAAAAAAAGTATTCATGGGGGCCAGCAGGTGGTATTTTGGTTGACGGACTGGATACTCCTACATGGCCGACCACAGTTCGAGTCCCAGACCTCGTGGCTTACTTTCTCACTTTCCCTCCCTCTCTCTCTGTCTCTCTCTGGTCAAATTAAAATAAATGAAGGAATAAATAAAATAAAAATAAATAGTTTTTAAAAAGTACTGGGACCAGCAGTTAACATAATGGCTATGTTGCTAAACTCCCATGTAGCCGACTGCAGTTTGAGTCCTGGACACGGTGGCTTAAACTCACACCGGGCGCATGGGCGTGTGTGCCCAAGATCCTGAGAGGAGAATAGAGGAGAAGGGATTGTGATGTGGCCATAACTCCATTCAGATCTTTTATCCTAGCAATTTTATTATTTTTTTTATCAGAGATAGGGTCTTGCTATATTACCCAGGCTGGAGTGCAGTGGCTATTCACAGGTACGATTCCACTATTGATCAGCATGGGAGTTTTGACCTGCTCCCTTTCTGACCTGGGCTGGTGCACCTCTCCTTAGGCATCCTGGTAGTTCCCCACACCCGGGAGGTCACCATATTGATGCCAGACTTAGTGCGGACACTCAACTGGCATAGCACACTACAACCCAGAGTTCCTGGGCTCAAGTCATCCTCCTGTCTCAGCTTCACGGGTAGCTGGGATTAGAGACGTATGCCACTGTGCCCAGCACAATTTTATTGTTTCAATTCATCCCCTAAAAATAAAATATATAAGCCAGCTAGTGGCCTGGTGGTTAAGGTGCTGGATTTCTACATGGGTGACCATGGTTCGAGTCCCAGACCTGGAGGCTTGAAAATTATGCTAAGTAGGACCAGTAGATGGCATAATGGTTACATGGCTGGACTCCAACATGGCTGACCATGGTTTAAGTCCTGGACTGGAGGCTTAAACCTCATGCCATGTGCATGTGCTTGTGTACATGCCCAAGATCCTAAGAGAAGAAGGGATTGTGATGTGGCCACTTCCCTGGGGGGGTGACTTATCACTTTCTGTTTCTGTCTCTCTGGCAAATGCACTCACCCTATAGCAAAAATCTCTCTTAAAAAAAAAAAATTACATTGAGTGCATGTGCGTGTGTACCCAAAATCCTGATAGGAGACTGGAGGAGAAGAGATTGTGGTATGATCATCCCCTCAAGGGTAATTTCTCGCTGTTCCTCTCTGTCTGTCTGTCTCTTTCCAGGAAATGCAAATGCTCTATGGCAAAACAAACAAACAAACAAAACAAACAAAAAAACCCCCCCAAACTAAAAATATCCAAAATATTTTAAATGTAATGCATAAGGCTGTAAATTCTATTAGGTAATTAAACAAAAACATAGTAAATGTTGTAATTTCCCATTGATTGAGAACAAGGTAAATAAGGCATGGAACACCTATACAACAGAATAATACGCCCTATTGGGCCAGCCCCATCCCTAGAAGTTAAAGGAGCTAGATCCTGCATAGTTCGAATCTCAGACCTAGCAGCTTTAAAAACAAGCTAGGCATGTTTGTATATGTGTCCCAGATTCCGATAGGATGAAGAAATGAAGAAGGGATTCCCGTGTAACCACACCCCATTAGGGTGCTTTCTATCTCCCTCTTTCTGTCTCTCTCTGGTGAACACACATACCCTCTGTCAAATTTTAAAAAAGGGGGAGAATATCATGCACTACTATGGGGCCAGCAAGTGGCATGGTGGTGAAGTGGTTAAGCTGCTGGATTCCCACATGACTAACCTCTGTTAGAGTCCGAAATCTGGGGGCTTGAAATATCAAGCCAGGGGCATGTGTGTGCACGCCTAAAATTCCAGGAATAGAGGAGAAAGAAGTGTGGTGTAGCCATCCTCCCTGAGGGGTGATTTCTCACTTTCTCTCTCTGTCTCTCTCCAGCAAATGCAAGTGTCCTATGGCAAAAATCTAAAAAGAAAACGAAAAAAAAGTAGGTATATCGGGCCAGTAGCTGGTGTGGTAGTTAAAGGCACTGGACTCACATGGCTGACTATAGTTCAAGTCCTGGACCCAGCAGCTTGCTTTCTCACTTTCCTTCTCTCTCTCTCTTCTCTTTCTTTGTCTGGTAAGTGCATGTGACGTATAACAAATTAAAACTAAATAAATAAATAAATAAATAAATAAATAAATAAATAAATAAATATTTTTCTTAAAGTTTAATGAACTTTATTTATTTTAATTTGACCAGAGAAAGACAGAGTGAGAGAGTGAGAGAGAGAAAAAGGGAAATTGAGAAAGCAAATCACTGGGTCTGAGATTCAAACTGCAGCTGGCCATGCGGAGTCCAGAGCCCTTAACCACCATGGCACCTGCTGGCCCCATATAATTCTTATTTTTTTAAAGACTCAATTATTTAATTTTATTTATTATTATTGTTATTTTTTTCAATTTACTATATAGGACACATGAATTCATCAGAGAGAGAGAAAAAAAAAAAAGAGAAGGGAGAAAGGAAGTGAGAAAACAAGCTGCCAGGTCCATGGGCATGAACCATGGTCAGCCATATGGGAATTCAGCACCTTAACCATCATGTCACCTGCTGGCCCCATCATGTAAAAATAATTTTTTTCTTTTTCTTTTTTTGGAGGGGTTTTTGCTATAGGGCGCGTGTGCTCGCCAGACAGACAGAGACAGAGAGACAGAAAGCGAGAAATCACCATTGGGGGGGACGGCCACGCTGCAGTCCCTTCTCCTCCATTCTCCTCTCGGAATCTTGGGCACGCACGCACAGGCAACCGGTGTGAGTTTTAAGCCACTGGGTCTGGGACACGAACCGTGGTCTACTACATGGGAGTCCAGTGATACAGCCATTACGCTAACTGCTGGTCCCGTTTTTTCTTTTCTTTTTTTTTATGGGGAGATTTTTGCTATAGGGTGCATGTGCTCACCAGAGAGAAATCATCCCCCATGGGGGATGGCCACACCACAATCCTTTCTCCTCGATTTTTCTCTTGTGATTTTGGGCATACACGCACAAGCACCTGGCAATGAGTTTTAAGCTGCTGGGTCCAGGACTCACCCATGCAGCTGACTGTAACCGTGCCTTAACGTCCATTTTACCTGCTGGCTCAGGTTCTGTAGTTTCAATAGTCGTATTTTATTATTAAATCAGGTTAGATTATAAAACTAATACATTCTTTTTTTTTTGAGAGGTTTTTGCTTTAGAGCATGTGCATTCACCGGAGAGACAGAGACAGAAAGCAAGAAATCCCTCCCCGCTGGGTCTGGGACTTGAACTGCAGTCAGCCATGTGAGAGAGTCCAGTGGCCTTAACTAACATAATACCTGCTGGCCCCAAAATACTACTTTTTTTTTTTTTTGAGAGGTCATGCACTCACCAGACAGACAGAAAGTGAGAAATCACTCCCCCGGGTGATGGCCACACTGCAATCCCTTCTCCTCTATTCTCCTCTCAGAATCTTGGGCGTGAGTTTAAGCCACCGGATCCAGGACTCAAACCAAGGTTGACAACATGGGAGTCCAGCGACATAGCCATTATGCCAACTGCTGGTTCCCCCCCAAAAAGATTTCTTAAAAAAAAAAAAAAAAAAAAAGGGATTGGTAGTGACACAGAAAAACATTTGATACTTATTAAGTGAAAAAAGCAATTTGCAAAACAATATGTATATCATTATCTAGTTTCTATTTTTATAAAATACATAATTTGTGTATATTAGACACACCCACACAGAAAGAAATTAAGACATATATGCCAAACTCTTAGCAGCCTATGTCTATGAGGTAGAATTATAGGACCTTTCATATTACATAATTTTAACTATTGCAAATTTTTTTTTTTTGTCTCTTTTTTTTACTAAAGAGATTTTTGCTATAGGGCACGTGCACTTACCGGAGAGAGAGACAGAGACAGAGTGAGCAATCACTCCCTGGAGGGATGGTCATATTGCAATCCCTTCTCCATTCTCCTCTCGGTATCTTGGGCATGCATACACATGCGACAAGCGTGAGTTTTAAGTCACGGGATCCAGGACTGGAACAGAGGCCGACTATGTGTGAGTCCAGCAACGTAACCATTACACCTTCTGCTGGTCCCGCAAATTATTTTCTTTAAATGCCAGAGGGCTCTTGTACTCACCAGAGAGTGAGTAAGAAATGGCACACACACATACAAAAAAGAACATTACAAGAAAACAAAAACAGAGAAACAGAGAAAGAAAGTGTCCTGATGGGGCCTAGTGACCTTACAATTCTTTTCCCTCCAATCCTCCCTCCTGTTAGGATCCTAGGAGCACAAGCACATGCCTAGAGTGTTTCTTCAAGCTGCCAGGGCAGGGTCTTGAATCCTGGTCGGCCACGTGGGATCTGGCTTTCTCTGCACAACAATTAACCGCTATGCCACGGGGCCAGTCCACTAATACAAATTTTAAGCAAGCACTATTTTCTTTTCTAAACAGGGCATACAATTTAGATATTACTTTATTCTGGGATAAGACATAAGCCATTCTTCTTCATCCTCATAACCATTTCTCATCTCATCTCTCTCTTTTTTGCACACACTTTTTTTTTTGGAGAGGTTTTTGCTATAGGGCACGTGCGCTCGCCAGACAGACAGAGAGAGACAGAGAGACAGAAAGCGAGAAATCAGCCCCCAGGGGGGAAGGTCATGCCGCAATCCCTTCTCCTTCATTCTTCTCTCGGGATCTTGGGCATGCATGCACACGCGCCCGGCGTGAGTTTTAAGCCACCGGGTCCGGGACGCGAACCGCAGTCGACTACGTGGGAGTCCAGCGACATAGCCATTACGCTAACTGCTGGTTCCCCATAAACTCTTGATTCATAAGATCATCCCTGAAGATACTTCTCACTCAAGGCATCATCCCTTTGGAAAATTTTTTTTATCATTACTCACACTCTGACAGCCTTTTGCAGATTCCCACTCTCAAACCTTGACTCAAATAGTAGAGTGTTATCTTCCGGTCCTTGCAATGTGACAGCAATCTCCTTGATAATTCCTCGCTTGCCTCCCACTCTGGAGTTGGTGAAATAGGAACCTTCTGTGGGTACTGCAAGTAAGAGACATATTTAGGCGAGGTTTCCCTCATAAACCATTAATCTAGCAATTACAGGAATCCCCTTTTGTCCATGAGAGTTACATCCTTAGTCCACCAGAGAAGAAGAGATTACTGCAGAGTGACCATTCCCTAGGAAGGTGCTTTCTTGAGCCCACCCCCACCCTGATCCCCAGTCTGTCTCTCTTTGGAGAGCATATATACCCTTTTGCAAAAAAAAAAATTTTTTTGAGTTTTTTTTTTTGCTATAGGGTGCATGTGCTTGCTGGAAAGACAGAGACAGACAGACAGAAAGTGAGAAATCAGCCCCCAGGGGGGATGGCCACGCTGCAATCCCTTCTCCCCCGTTCTCCTCTTGAGATCTTGGGCATGCACGCACATGCGCCTGGAGTGAGATTAAGCCACCAGGTCCGGGTCTTGAACCACGGTCGACTACATGGGAGTCCAACGACATAGCCATTACACTAACTTTTGGTACCCCCTTTTTGCAAAATTAAAAAAAAATCACTTTATTATAGAGGCTATATTTATTAAAACACTGTTATTAATCATTCATTGTTCAGGGTAATCATAATACCTGAATCTAATTGATAAACTACTATGCCTTTTTCCTCTCCTACAATTTCTGGTACTTTTTCATTTCCTGTAGGTTGATAGAAATATTCTGGTCGAGGTGGAACCCATTCTGAAAGACATAATACGTACATATTAAGAAATAATTTAAAAGGTACTATCCAAACTGATATGAAATAATAATTATTATTCAAATGGCTAGTTTGGTCAAATCAAACCAAATTCCCACCCCAGTTCCCAGTTTATAAATTTAACTATGTTTTGATTCTGTCCATAAAGACAATGATGAGACTTTGTACAAAACGTTATATAGTGAAATAATAAATTTTAAGTAGCAGTCTTAAGCTGGAGGGGCCAGCTGATGGCATGGTGGTTAATGTACTGGATTCCCACATGGCTGACTGCAGTTCAAATCCTGGACAAGACAACATGAAAATCACACAGGGTGGGGCTGGTAGGTGGTGTGATTAAGGGCACTGGACTCCCACATGGCTGACTACCGTTCAAGTCCTGGACCTGGCGGCTTTCTCTTTCTCTTCCCCATTCCCCTGGTCAAATTAAAATAAAGTTAAATAAAAATTAAAAAAAAAAAAAAGAAAAGAAAATCACATCGGGCACGTGGTGTGCATGCCCACAATCCCAAAAGGAGAATGGAGTAGAAGAGATTATGGTGTGGCTATCCCCCATGGGAGTGATTTCTGACTTTCCCTTTCTCTCTTTCTCTTTCCATTGAGTGCATACGCCTTTCAAAGAAAAAAAAAATCAAGCCAGAAAAATCAAAATAGTTTCTGCAACAGCTTTTTAAAATGTGCCCAACCAGTCAATAATGCAGTGCTCTGCGATATTGGACCCACATGGCGAGGTCCTAGGTTGAAATCTCAGGGCCGGGGCCAGCAGTTGGCATGGTGGTTAAAGGCGCTGGATTCCCACATGGCCAACCATGGTTCGAGTCCTGGACCTGGTGGCTTGCTTTCTCACTCTCTTCCCATCTCTCTCTCTCACTCTATCCCTCTCTGGTCAAACTGAAATAAACAAATGAATAAATAATAAATAAAAAGTTAAATAAAATAATTATTAAAAAAAAAAAAGAAATCCCAGGGCCTCCTAGTGAGTGTGTGTATGTCACTGAGCACATACATGTGATGACTCAGGGCTTCCCAGTACATACATGTGTATACACACATACACACACTGAACACATACATGTAATGACCCAGTGCCTCCCAATACACGTACACACACACACGTGATGACCCAGGGCCTCCCAGTAAACACACACCCTGAACACATAAATGTGATGACTTAAGGCCTCCCGGTATGTGTGTGTGTATATGTGTGTGCATATATGTATGTGTATATATACACACATATACATATATTTTAATTATATATAAATAATATATGTATAATTTAATATATACACATACATACATGTACTGAACACACACATGTGATGACACAGGCTGGCTTAGGCTGGATTGTATTGTAATGTTACCTTATTGGAGGTAACTGTCCCTTTTTCTTTCATGGAATAAATAAACTAACTTAGGGCCAGCCAGAGGTATGGTGGCTTGAGGTAGCTGGATCCCACATAGCTGACTGCCTGGGTCTAGTCTGACGAGTGGCTTGAGAAACACACTGGGCATGTGTGTGTAATGCCCCAAATTCTCTTCTCTATTCTCCTGAAAGAGAACAGAGAATAAGGGACTGCACCATGGCTATCCCCTATGGAGGGGTGGTTTTTATCACCTGCTGCCCTTCCACCCCTGTGCGTGTCTTTTCAAGGAGTACATGTGCCCTATAGCAAAATTAAATGAAAAATTGGGAGCAGAGGCCAGCTCTGCAGCACAGTGGTTAAGAGCTGGATCCCACATGACCAAGTATGGTTTGAATCCCAGCCCTGGTGACTTCAAAGATATGCCAGGTTGGGACCAGCAGTTGGTGTAATGGCTATGTTGCTTGACTCTCATGTAGTCGACCGCGGTTCAAGTCCTGGACCCGGTGGCTTAAACTCACACAGGGCACGTGTGCGTGCATGCCCGAGATGCCAAGAGGAGAATGGAGAAGGGATTGCGATGTGGCCATCCTCCTGGGGGGTTGATTTCTCGCTTTCTGTCTCTTTCTGTCTTTCTAGCGAGCACACGCACGCTATAGCAAAAACCTCTCAAAAAAAAAAAAAACCCAAAAAACAAAAAACAAAAAACATGGGATAGAGGAAAGAATGGACTAAGGGAGATTTGTAGCTTGACCAGACTCACACAAGGTGTGCCCATGTGCCTTCTGGCATTGAAAAAAAAATTGGTCCTGAGCTTCCTTCAAGCTGGGAAAATATAATCAGATAGATACTTTTCGTTACCATAGAGGAACAAGTCTATCAATTCTTTCAGAGAAAACAAGGCTTTTTCATTAGCACTGAATTAATAAAAATCTCTTCTATGTGACTTGGGCAGCTTGTAAATATTTTAAATATAGTACCCTGGGGGGTCAGCAGGTGGCATGGTGGGTAAGGCAGCTGGACTCCCACATGGCTGATTGTGGTTTGAGTCCAAGACCTGGCAGCTTGCCTTTTTTTTTTTTTTGGAGAGGTTTGCTATAGGACGTGTGCACTCGCCAGAAAGAGAGACAGAGAGACACAAAGTGAGGAATCACCCCCAGGGAGGATGGTCATGCCGCAATCCCTTCATTCTCCTCTCAGGATCTTGGGCACGCACGTACATGCGTCCGACATGAGTTTAAGCTACTGGGTCTGAGACTCGAACAGCGGTCGACCACATGGGAGTCCAGCGACATAGCCATTACACCAACTGCTGGTCCCCCTGGCAGCTTGCTTTCACACTTTTCTTCTCTCTCTCTCTCTCTCTGGTCAACTTTGATAAGAAATAATAATAATAATAATAATGACAATGAATAAAATTAAATAAAAATAATTCTTTAAAAAAAATATATAGTAGGCTGGGCTGGCAAGTGACATGGTGGTTAAAGGTGCTGGATTCCCACATAGCCAACTGCAGTCTGAGACCCGGACTTGGCGGCTTGCTTTCTAGCTTTCCCTTTCGTGCTCTCTCTCTGGTCAAATTAAAAAATATTAACAACAAATGGAATTAATTAAATAAGTAATTCTGAAAATAATAAATAAATAAATACAGTAGCCACTGATGAAAGCCAAGGGCTTATAAAGACACAACTAGTTAAAATAATGATTTTTTTTTTTGAGAGTTTTTTTCACTAAAGGGAGTGTGTGCTCGCCAGAAGGATGAGAGACAGAGAGATAGAAAGCGAGAAATCACCCCCAAGGGGGATGGCCATGCGGCAACCCCTTCTCCTCCATTCTCCTCCTGGGATCTTGGGCACGCACGCACATGCGCCCAGCGTGAGTTTAAGCCGCCGGGTCCAGGACGTGAACCGCGGTCAACTACGTGGGAGTCCAGCGACATAGCCATTACGCTAACTGCTGGTCCCTGATTTTTTTTTTAACAAATTACTTTATTTAACTTTATTTATCTATCTATTTATTTTAATTTGATCAGAGAGGGAGGGAGGGAGGGAGGGGGTGGGGGAGAGAGAGAGCGCGCGCACGAGAGAGAGCAAGCCACTAGATCTGGGACTCAAGTCGTGTGGGAATCCAGTGCCCTCAACCGCCATGCCACCTGCTCGCCCCAAGTGAGAAAGTAAGCTATCAGGTCTGGGACTTGAAGAACTGCAGTCTGCCATGTGGGAATCCAGCACCTTAACCATCATGCCACCTGCTGGCACCCAGCATGATTTTCAAGCCACCAGGTCCAGGGCTTCAATTGTGGTCAGCCATGTGGGGGTCTAGCACTTTAACCACCATGCCACCTGTTGGTCATATTTTTTTCTTTTTAAAGGTTATTCATTAATTCCTTCCATGAGTGCGAACGAGACAGACAGAAAAAGATAGACATCCCCAGTGAAGTCCCCACGCCACAATCTACCCAGTCTCAAATAGCCCAGATCCTAAGCACATGTGTGCCCGGCATGTACCGGGAGGCTTTGGGACATGAAAATGGGACCTTCCCATGTGGGAACAGGATCACAGAGCAGCTTGTTTCTGAGGTGCCACGGGCTAGCCCCAATGCTAATTCCTTAAAGGGGATGGGACATGAAGGGGCTTTGACAATTCAGTGTGTATGTGTGTGTGTTTGTGCACAAGTACTTTTTTTTTCTTCAGACAGGGCCTCACTATGCTGCCCCCGTGAGCTCATGATCCTCCTGCCTCAGTATCCTGAATAGCTGGAACTCCAGGTGTGTTTAATACCCCGTCCGGCTTTTTTCAAGGTAGGCCAGGAAATGAACCTGAGTCTTCCATGTTCCCTTAACCTGCCACGCAGCAGCATCCAATGTACATTACTGTGGTTGGGCCAGACAATCCAGTCTAAACAATAGTTGAGTTTCCTTGAAATTTTTAAAGTTGCTTTTTTAAAGATCTGTGGTAGAGCCAGCAGGAGGCGTTGTGGTTAAGGTGTTAGACTCCCACATGGCTGACTGCAATCTGAGTCCTGGACCTGGTGGCTTGCTTTCTCACATTCCCCCTCACTCTGTTTCTCTCTGGTGAGCATACATGCCCTATAGAAAATTTACAAATGACAACAATAAATAAAATACATTTTTTGAGAGAGATTTTTGCAAGTGTGCTCGCCAGAGAGAGATGGACAGAAAGCAAGACATTACCCCCAGAGGGGATGGCCACACCACAGTCCCTTTTACATTCTCCTCTTGGGATCTTGGGCACACATGCATACATGCCCAGCATGAGGCTTAAGCCACCAGGTCTAGGATTTGAACCATAGTCAACTACATGGGAGTCCAGCAATGTAACCATTACGCCATCTGCTGATTCCAAAATAAATAACGATTTTTTTAAAAAGACCTTGTGGTTTGGGGCCAGCAGGTGGCATGGTGGTAAAAGCACTGGACACCCACACGGCTGACCATGGTTTAAGTCCCAGACTGGGTGGCTTGCTTTCTCACTCTTTTTCTCACTTGGTCTCACTCTTTCTCTCTCTGGTCAAATTTTAATAAATAAATAAATGGATAAGTAAAGTTAAATAATGTAATTTTTTTTTTCTTTTTTTGGAGAGGTTTTTGCTGTAGGGTGCATGGGCTTGCCAGAAAGAGAGACAGAACGCGAGAAATCACCCCCCAGGGGGGATGGCCACGCCGCAATCTCTTCTCCTCCATTCTCCTCTCGGGATCTTGGGCACACATGCGCACGCGCCCGGTGTGAGTTTAAGCCTCTGGGTCCGAGACTCAAACCGCGGTCGACTATGTGTGAGTCCAGCGACATAGCCATTACGCTAACTGCTGGTCCCAATAATGTAATTCTTAAAAAAAAAAAGACCTTGTGGTTTGCTGGATACCAGTATAATAATTTGGTTACTAATTCCAGTTTCCCACTTTTTCCCTGCTCTTGGAACTAAATCTTGAATCCTCACAGGAATTCTAAGTCTAATACACATACACACAAAGTTCTGTGTTTTTTTTTAATTATTTATTTTATTTATTCATTCATTTATTTTAATTTGACCAGAGAGAGACAGAGAGAGAGAGAGAGAGAGAGAGAAAGTAAGAAATCCAGCCTCCAGGTCTAGGACTCAAACCATGGTTGGCCATGTGGGAGTATCTGGAGCCTTACCCACCCTGCCACTTGCTGGTCCCTCCTTTTTTTTGAGAGAGATTTTTGCTATAGGATACATGTACTTGCCAGAGAGACAGAAAGCAAGAATCCGCTCCCCAGGGGGCTTGTGATATGGCCATGCCGCAATCTCTTCTCTTCCACTCTCCTCTTGGGATCTTGGGCATGCATGCACATGTGCCCAACGTGAGTTTGAAGCCCCCAAGTCTAGGACTTGAACCATGATCATCTATGTGAGAGTCCAGTGATGTAACCATTACGCTGTCTACTGGTCCTCAAGTTCTGCTGTTTTATACAGGCAACAGGAAAGCCTCTTGTTTGGTCACACCAACTTGGACTTTTGTCTAAAAACTATACAGCGTAGGGGCAGATGGTTCTAGAACACCCAGTCATTGCACCCCTCAAAAACACTTCCCTTCTCATTTCCAAACATGCTGAGAACAGTGCTGTCTCTGGCAGGCCACATTAAGTGAGCCCCTCTCCATATTTTCACCCTCATTTCTTATCTCTCATTCTCAATAAATGCTCCATGTTTGCCTAAACACACCATGCCATTTTTGTTTCCTCTAACTGGAATATTTTTATTTGACTCTCTCAACTAGATCATTTCTTTTTTTTAAAAAAGAATTATTTCATTTAACTTTATTTATTTATTCATTTGTTTATTTCAATTTGACCAAAGAGGAACAGAGACAGAGAGAGACAGAGAGAGAGAGAAAGCCACCAGGTCCGGGACTCGAACTGTAGTTGGCCTTGTGGGAATTTAGCGCCTTTTACCACCATGCCACCTGCTGGCCCTCAACTAGATCATTTCAAACTCATCTTTTAAAAATTTTTTTTGGAGAGGTTTTTGCTATAGGGCGTGTGTGCTTGCCAGAAAGACAGAGAGACAGAGAGACAGAAAGCGAGAAATCACTCCCCAGGGGGGATGGCCACGCCGCAATCCTTTCTCCTCCATTCTCCTCTCGGGATCCTGGGCACGCACGCACACATGCCTGGTGTGAGTTTAAGCCACCAGATCCGGGACTCGAACCGCGGTCGACTACATGGGAGTCCAGCGACATAGCCATTTTGACAACTGCTGGTCCCTTGAACTCATCTTTTATGTCAACTCCTTTTCAAAATCTATACTAACTTTCGGGCTTGGTGAGGGGTTCCCAGAGGGACCAAGCTCTACACGATTGCCTGGTAAAACATTCAACTTCCCCCACAGTTTGAGGATGTGTGTTTCCACACTGTTCATTGCTGTATCTCTAGCACCAAGCACTGGGCATATGAGAAATGCTAGTACATGTTTACTGAATGCATTTTATAGAGCGGAGTGAGAAAATAAAACATAACCAGTTTATCCAGCAGTCTAATGCAGAGACATGATTCTTGGGAGACATAAGTACTCCAGAAACGAGAAAAGTTCCCACTTCTCATTGTGGTCACTTTTGTAAATGCTTCATGAATGGGCGCAGAAGATTCTACTTGTATCAAGAGCTCACAGATAGGACCAAAAATGTCATAAAAGCCTCTTCCAAAAACCTCTCTTATTAAAAAAAAAGAAAAAGAAAAAAAGGACCAGCAGTTGGCATAACGGCTATGTCACTGGACTCCCACGTAGGAGACCACGGTTTGAGCCCTGGACCCAGTGGATTAAACTCATGCCAGGAGCATGTGCGTGCATGCTCAAGATCCCGAGAGGAGAATGGAGGAGAAGGGACTGTGGAGTTGCCATCCCCCCTGGGGGGGTGGTTTCTTGCTTTCTGTCTCTGTCTTTCTGGCAAGTGCACGTGCCCTATAGCAAAAAAACTCTCCAAAAAAAAAAAAGGGGAAAAAAGCCTCTTCATTCGTACATAAACTCCAATACATTCCAAATATAATAAAAAATAGTAAAAGCTACTGTCTTTATCAGTTATACCAAGGTTGGTAAAAATACAATTCAACCAAACATTTAATACAGTTTAAGCATCCCTGATCTGAAATGCTCCAAAATCTGAAACTTCTGAGAACCAACATGATTCCCCAAGAGGAAAACTCTACATCTGAAGGGTTGCAGTCTACATGCTGCAACACAAAAATACTGTATAACACTGCCTCAGGCTATCTGTATATGTGTACATGAAACAAAAGAATTACGTGTGTAGAATCCGTTTCCATTCCAGTGATCTCATTACATAAATGTAAGTGTTTTGAAATCTAAAATAACCTCGGAAACACTTCTGTTCCCAAACATTTTGGATAAGGGATACTGAACCTGTACTGAGATAGGAATAACATAGAGGAAAGATTTAAATATTAAATATATTATGTTTAATATATTATTTTTTGGTCTCTGGGAAAGTACTGTCCCATGCCAATCCAAAAACCTCATAGACATTCTGTTTTATCCTCTAATATGACCTTTTTTAAAAAAATTATTTTATTGGGACCAACAGTTAGTGTAACAGCTATGTTGCTTTGGTCGACCATGTGGTCGACTGTGGTTCACGTCCCGGACCTGGTGGCTTAAAACTCACGCTGGGCGTGTGTGCATGTGTGCGTGCGTGCCCAAGATCCCGAGAAGAGAATGGAGAAGGGATTGCAGCGTGGCCATCCCCCCCGGGGGGTGATTTCTCGCGTACTGTCTGTCTCTCTGTCTGTCTGGTGAGTGCACGCACCCTGTAGCAAAAAACTCTCTAAAAAAATTTTCTTTATTTAACTTTATTTATTTATTCATTTATTTTAATTTGACCAGAGAGGGGCACAGCGAGAGTGAGAGAGAAAGTGAGAAAGCCGCCAGGTCTGGGACTCCAACCACGGTCGGCCATGTTGGGGTCCAGCGCCCTCCACCATCTGGCCACCTGCAGGACTTTGGTGGGTATGCATCAGTTTCCCAGAGTTTCATCTTTTCAGGGTATGTTAACAGATACTGACTCGGTCCTACCCTAGTCTTCAGCATACAGGACTTAAAATGCTAAGGTCTTGTAGTCAAGTGTCAGAACAGCAGGACCACACACAGCAGCCACATTACCAATATGATGAATGTTTTCCTTGATGACCTCACATTCTATTGGCCACCTTGGAGCCTGCAGTGACCCACTGCTAGAGAAACAAGCAAAGAGGTCGCGAGGTTCTTGAAGACGTGGGTTCACTTCGTCCAACTCATCATAAAGAAGCTGCTTGCTTCTGAGAAGTGGTGAACTCAGCATAAATGAATCTGCCAAAGGGAAAATGAATGAGTAAACATGTTCTTTTTCCTCCTTGGGAACTTGAATGTTCATCTAAAGCAACTGAGTAACTTTAAGTGCTGTATTAAGATATTAGCACAGATGTATAAAGCTATAATGTGGTTTTCCCTTAAGGAGATTTAGTTTAGGATGGTAGAGTCAAGATTATAAAACTCACACTGGGGGAACCAGCAGTTAGTCTAATGGCTATGTCGCTGGACTCCCATGTAGCCGACCGCAGTTCCCGTCCCGGGCCTGGTGGCTTAAAACTCACATGGAGTGCATGTGTGCCCAAAATCCCTAGAGGAGAACAGAGAAGGGATTGCGGCGTGGCCATCCCCCCTGGGGGGTGATTTCTCGCTTTCTGTCTCTCTGTCTCTCTCTGTCTGGCAAGTGCATGCACCCTACAGCAAAAACCTCTTAAAAAAAAAATCACACTGGGAGCCTGTGTGTGTATGCCCAGATTCCTGAGAGGAAAAGGGATTGTGGCATGGCCATCCCCTCAGAGGGTGACTTCTCACTTTCCATCTCATTGTCTCTCTCTCTGTCTCCTTCCCGTGAGTGCATACACCCTATGGAAAGAAATTAAAATAAAAAAGAACATGAGATTTAACAAAATGGGCCTGGAAAATAGTAGGTGGCATGGTCGTTAAAGCGCTGGACTCCCATGTGGTTAATTGTAGCTTGAATCCTGGACCTGGCGTCTTGAAAATCGTGCTGAGGGGTTGGCAGGTAGCATGGTGATTGGAGTGCTGGACTCCCACATGGCCAACCACAGTTCAAGTGCCAGACCTGGCTTTCTCTCTCTCTGGTCAATTTTTTTTTGGAGAGGTTTTTGCTATAGGGCGCATGCACTTGCCAGAAAGACAGAGAGAAACAGAGAGACAGAAAGCTAGAAATCACCCGCCTGGGGGGATGGCCACGCCACAATCCCTTCTTCTCCATTCTCCTCTCGGAATCTTGGGCACACACGCACATGTGCCTGGTGTGAGTTTAAGCCACATGTGGTCTTCACAGGTGAGACACTGCAGTACAAAAACATGATATAAATTTACCTTCAGGCTTTTAACAGATGTAACGGAGGGGCCAGCAGATGGCATACCGGTTTTGTTACTGTACTCCCACATTGCTGACTGCCCCGTTTGAGTCCCAGACCTGGTGGCTTGAAAATCACACCAAACACGTGAGCGTGTGTGCATGCTAAGATCCCAGGAGGAGAATGGAGAAGGGATTATGATGTGTGGCCATCCACACAGTGGGGTGATTTCTCACTTTCCCTCTCACTGTCTCTGTCTGTCTCTGGCAAGTGCATGTGCCCTATATCAAAAGCCTTAAAGAAAAAAAAGGGGCTGACACAGAAATCAAAGTCTCAGAATGTTGATTGTTATGGGGAAAGAATATATCTAATAACTGCAAGTGACAAAATGAAAAATTTTTCAAGACATGGGGAAGTTTGGGAAAAATGAAATCTGTCAATTATTCCAAAAAATAATGAGCAAAGACAGGCCAGCAGGTGACATGGTAGTTAAGGGTGCTGGACTCCCACATGGCCAACTGTGATTTGAGTCCTAGACTCGGAGGCCTTGCTTTCTTGCTTTCTCTCTTTCTCTCTGCTCAAATTAAAAATAAATGAATAAATAAAAGTTAAATAATTCTTTTTTTTTTTTTTTTTTGAGAGGTTTTTGCTATAGGGGGTGTGC